GTGGAGGGTTGACAAAAGAGGGGAAGGCCTTCGACAAGATGGATTGACATGGTGGTTGTGACAATAGGCTCAAGTATAGCAAGGATCATGGAGCTGGCACAGGATCTGGCAGTGTTTTGTTCTGCTGTGCATGGGGTTGCTATGAGTCAGAAATGACTCGAGGGCACCTAACAGCAACAACAACAGAGCTAAAAAAATAAGTAAATAAATAACTCACTGCCATTGAGTCAATTCTGACTTATAGTGACCCCCTTTGGGTTTCCAAGGCAGTAAATCTTTACGGAAGTAGACTGCCCAGTCTTCTTTCCTTGGAGTGGTTGGTGGGTTTGAACTGCCAACCTTCTGATTAGCAGTCAAATGCCCTGAATTTGGACTTCTACCTTCCTAGACTGAGAAAATAAATTTCTGTTCATTAACGTCACCCATCTGTGACAGTTTTGTTACAGCAGCACTAGATAACTAAGCCATTCCCTTTAGCCAAAAACAGTTATTTTCATGTATACAAGCTGTATACTTCCTAATGAGACACATTATTAGGAAATAATGCTTTCTGTGTCATATAATTAAATAATCATTTAAAGAGGAATCATCTAGAAAAAGGAAAAAACTCTTACCTGGATATTTAGTTGGATCATAACGCAAAAAAGCCACAAGGTAACGAAACCCTTTTCTTGTTAGGGACAACATTATACCAGCATAGCTAAAAAGAACATAAACAAGGTATATGTTACGTTTTTTCTACACAGGCAAGAGGCAGGGAAGGAACCTAGCACTTACTTTCAGCTACCTTATGTACTCTAATTCTGCTAAAACCCACATGAAGTCAATTTTCATTCTAAAAGAGAGAAATGCCTTCAGCAAATTTTGTCCCTTGCCCAAGGTCACAGAGCTGGGAAGTGGTAAAAATGGGACTCAAACTCCAGCCTCATCCCTGAGCCCAAGCTACATCAGACCAGAAGACATGACATTCAGTATGCTTTCTCATATCTTATTTTTTAAATAACATAGGTACAATAAGAATGGCTACCAAAAACATCAATGACAAATGCTGTCATCATAATAACAGCCAATATGTATACAGTTCTCTAAAGTTGACAAGGCAGTTTTCACATACATGATTTCTTTTAATCCTCACAACCCTCTGAGGTAGTCTAAATAGGAGTCTTGGCACTGAAGCCAAACTTCCTGGGTTTAAGTCTCAACTCTGTCACTTATTAGTTGCCTAATTTTTACTATTTGCTGTTACTGACAGTGCACAATATTGTGTATGGAATAGTATTTGCTTTTATTGTCTATACCTCTTGTGCACTTCTCGCCCTGAGATATGGTGCTAGTCATATGCTTTTGTTATATTGCTTTTCCTTTCACTCATATAAATACCTGTCTCTTAACTATTCATCTATTTTCTCTCCTTTCCCTGCCCTTGGTAACCAACAAAGAAAATTTCCTTCTCTGTGTAAACTCTTCCTTGCTTGTTTATAATAATGGACTCATACAATATCTGTCCTTCTGTGCTTGACTTATTTCACTCAGCATAATGTCCTCCAAGTTCATCCACATTATGAGATGATTCGCTGATTCTTCATTATTCTTTTATATTGGGTAGTATTCCATTGTGTGTATGTACCACAGTTTGGTTATCCATTCATCTGTTGATGGGCAGTGAGGACAAGTTGCTTATTCTTTTTGACTTTAATTTCCTCATCTGCAAAATGGGAATAATGATAGCATATACTTCATAGAGTTGTTATGAGGATTAAATGTATCAATCTACATAAAGTTCTTTGAACAATGCCTGGTACATGGCAAGTTCCCCATGAGTGTTACCTGGTACTAAAGGTGTTATAGATATATTCCCATTTTGCAGAAAAGTAAACTGAGACATAGAGAAGTTGAATTTTTTGGTTAAGGATACACAGCCAGGAAGTGATAAAGCCTCGAGCCTTGATCCCAAGTCCTCTGTGGCCAAATCTTACATTTTTTAGACAAAGCTGATACAGCCTTTAGGTTTTCTGAGTCCAAATTCAATAAGCTATTTCAAACTAGTAAAAGCCTAGCCAATTTTTTGGAATCCAGAAAAAGGACAGCATATTCAATGAAGAGGACTAAAAAAAGAAAAATCAACATAATCAAGGAAACCAAATACAAACCGTTGTCGATCACTTGGATTAATAGCAACTAATGCTCCTCTATCCCATATCCGGTCAAATTGGCCGATATTTGCTCTACCAGAAAGAAAGGGAGAAAAAAACTCAAGATTTTATGTAAGAGAAATCAGATCTTTAACAAGACAAAAAGCGTTCCCCATGGAACATGCTGGTGGTGCACCACAGTTGTCAAGTAATTGGATCATGTCTGCTTTTCCTTCTAGTCTATAGGGATGTGTCGATGTGAGTATGGGGAGCTGTCCATCTCCTCTTAGCTTCAGGAGTCCATGGCAGCAGCTTTCCACTTCTGCTATAACTTAGGGGGACAAAGGAGGAACAAAGAGCAGTGTGTGACAGCTCTGAGCCCAGCCCCTAGCTTAAGTATCAGGAATCAGTAATTCTTTTCTCTTCTAGGCCAAGATGCAAGGTGGATGCTATTGTTTTGCATTCTCTTCCTTAAAAACCCAAAGACCAAATCTATTGCAGTCTAGTTAATTCTGACTCATGGCGATGCCATGTGTTGCAGAGTAGAAACTGTGTCCCGTAGGGTTTTTGGAAGCAGACTGCCTTGGCCTTTTTTCCAAGGTGCCCCTGGGTTGGTGTGAACACTAATTTTTTGATTAGTAGTGGAGTGTTTAACCATTTGTGCCACCCAAGCATTCCTGTTGTTAGGTGCTGTTGAGTGGGCTCTGACTCAAGCGAGAATGAAACACTGCCTAGTTCTGTGCCATCCTCAAAATTGTTGCTGTGTTTGAGGCCATTTCTGCAGCCACTATGTCAGTCCCCCTCTAAACATCAGCCAATATTCTTAGGGTTATAAGCGTATCCAGAGTTTGGGAGCTGTCCAAGGAAAAAGATAATATGCTTTGTGGGTGTTACTGCAAGTGGATGAGTAATGAAAAGACTCCTAACTCCCACCCTAGTAATCTCTCCAAAGGGCTCAAGTTTTCAAAAGTGCCCATGTAATTGATATTCAATCCTACCTTGGAAAATCAAAAATGTTGCAACAGTACAATGAAATGTTCCCTGATGAACTCTGTAATGAAAAAATTGGGGGAGAAAAAAATTCTACTTAATTAGGAGTTACGTAAATGGTCAAGGAAAGAGGACCAAAGCAAAGCAAAGGTGGTAGAGAAAGAACACAAACTTAAATACAATTAAAATAAATGATTTTATTGCACTTTAATAGTTCTGTATTTTTCAACCTGTGTGTGGTTCCTTTAAGAAGCCCTGGTGGTTCAGTGGTCAAGCCCTCTGCTACTAACTGAAAGGTCAGTGGTCTGAACCTACCAGTTGCTGTATAGGAGAAAGATGTGGCAGTCTACTTCTGTAAAGATTTATTGCCTTGGAAACCCTATGGGGCAGTTCAACTCTGTCCTATTAAAAAACAGATAAATCCACTGCCATCTAGTCGATTCCAACTCATAGCGACCTCCATTAGGTTTCTCAGGTGGTAAATCTTTACAGAAGTATATTGCCCCGTCTTCCTTCTGAGGAGTGGCTGATGGGTTTAAACCACCAACCTTTTGGTTAGCAGTCAAATGCCTTAGGCACTATGCCACTAGAGCATCTTATTCTGTCCTGTAGAGTCGGTATAAGTAGGAATTGACCCCTCAGCAGTCAGCTTGGTTTTTTTGGTTTGGGATTCCTTTGTATCAACTCACAGAGGAAAATCATAGAGATAGTAACCTAAAGACCAGTTAGCTATTACTCTTTTCAGAGCTAGTTAAAATTTTAGCAATGTCAAAAAAAAAAAAGAGCAATGGTTACTCGAGCAGAATCCTGACATTTTGACTCGGCTAAAAGATAAACACATAGGTCAATCAATTCCACAAACAAACAAAACCAAATCCACTGCCATTGAGTCGATTCCCACTCCTACTGACCTCCATTGGGTTTCCAAGGCTATAAATTGTTATGGAAGTAGATTGCCTCATCTTCCTCCTGCCTGAGCAGCTTGTAGGTTTGAACCACCCACCTTCTGGTTAGCAGACAAAATGCCTTACTGACTATGTCACCAAAGCTACTTAATCAATTACCAGGCAAGCTGATATAGGAAGGCCAGATATTTTTTAAAGGTATTCATAAAACGTGCAGCTGTATCGACTCCCTTCTCTCTCTTTAATGCATGCAGCTAATGAGCATTTAACTCTTGACTGCAGGTGGATTCATCAAGTCAATCACAGTATCCCTATAGGACAGGATAGAACTGCTCCATAGGGTTTCCAAGGCTGTAAATCTTTAGGGAAGCACACTTCCACATCTTTCTCCTGTGGAATGGCTGGTAGGTTGAAATCAATGACTGTCTGGTTAGGAGCTGAGTGCTTTGCCACTGTGCCTTGGGGCTCCTGATTAGCATTTACTGAGCACCTACTGGGAAGGACCATCCACATCCTAGATAATGGCTGTGAATTTGACACAATGTCTGAACTCATGAGGACAGCCTGGTAAGGCAGAGAGGTGTGGGCACAAACGTAACAGCACAGAATGGATCATACTATTACAGTTGGCACCTGAGACCTATGGGAAAAGAGGAACAAACTGTCCAAGAGTATCAGGGAAGGTGAGCCAGGTGCTCTCTGAGATGGAGTGGAGATGCATCTACTAACACCACATACAGTGGGGTGGGGTGCACTCATGAGCTGTTAAGTGACATGGACTCATGTCCAGCGGATGTGAGTAGCCTTGGAGCTGAGGTAGAGGGTAGGGTGGGAGAGATGAGACTGTTGGATTTTACTTTAAAGTGAGCCAGCAACAGAGGCTTACAAATAGAGGGAGAGGCTGTGAAGACAGTTTGGAAGCACTGTGGGGGGCAGTCCAGCAAGGGGTGGGCCTGGATGTAGGGAGGCCACTACCTACCCCCACCCACTGCCATCAAGTTGATTCCAATTCATAGTGACCCTTTTGGACACAGTAGAACTGCTCCATAGGGTTTTCAAGTCTGCAAATCTTTATGGAAGCAGGTTGCCTTATCTTTCTCCCACACAGCAGCTTATGGGTTCGAGCTGCCAACCTTTTGGTTAGCAGCCAAATACCTTAACCACTAAGTCACCAGAGCTCCTTAGGGTGGCCATTAGTGGCTTTCAACTTTGCCTGAATATTGGACTCACCTAGGCAGCTTTAAACAGTACTGATGCCAATGCCCTACCCCAAAAGTTTCTGATTTCACTGGCCTGGGCTGAGACATGACATTAGGGATTTTTGAAAGATTCACTGTTGTTATTGTTGCTAGCTGCCATTGAGTAGGCTCCTGACTCATGGTGACCCCATGCAAAATGGAATGAAATGCTACCTGATCTTGTGCCATCCCCACGATTGGTTGCAGATCACTCTTGTAGGTCTATAGCCAATGAATACAGCAGAAGTAGATCACCAGTCCTTTCTTCCTAGTCTGTCTTAATCTGGAAGCTCTGCTGAAACCTATTCATCACAGCGCACACAAGCCTCCAGTAACAGACGGTGATGGCTGTGCATGAGATATATTAATTGGGAATCAAACCCAAACCTCCAACATGGAAGGTAAGAATTCTACTAGTCAACCATCATTGCCTCCCTAGAAGATCCATAGATGCTTTCAAATGTGCAGTATTGCTCCAAGAGGAGTCTGGAAGCAGGACTAGCCTCTGAACTGAGCACATTCCTGGGATGCTTAGATGATTTGACTGCAAGGGGTGGGAAGAAGCTGTAGAATAAAGTATTACTGATCTAATTTTTTTCAATATTTGTTGTTGTTTGTTGTTATGTGCCACCGAGTCAGACCCAACTCATAACGACCTCTCCTTGGGTTTCTGAGGCAGTATCACTATGGAAGAAGATTGCCCAACCTTCCTTCTGAGGAGCAGCTGGTGGGTTTGAACCACCAGCCTTCTGGTTAGCAGTCAAGTGTTTTGTATGGGAAGAATATATAAACAGAGACCAGATCATATGTGACAATAGAACTCTGACCCACAACCTGTAGGAACCACCCAGGAAGCCATCTATAACCTCTGCATGAGTTGGCCACGAATAGTCAGGGTGTAATCAGTGACTGCCAGTGTCCCCACTTAGGGACGCTACACCCTCCTTTTAATTCAGAACCAACCAGAAAAAGCCAAATATGCCCTCCAAACTAACCACATAAGATGCCTCCAGCTTCCCCATACTAACAACCTCTAATCAGGCCATACTTATAACCTTCCCTTTTTTCACAAGAAAGCTTTCCTCTTCCACTGCCTGCCTCTGAGGAGCCCTTGGGTAGTGCAAATGGTTAAGCACCCAACTACTAACCAGAAAGGGTGGCGGTTGTAACCCACCCAGGGGTACCTTGGAAGAAAGGCCTGGCAATCTGCTTTGAAAGGTCACCACCATGAAAAAAACCCTGTGGAACAGTTCTACTCTGACACACATTGGGTCACTTTGATTTGGAATCAGCTCAATGGCAACTAGTTTCTTTTCCTTTTTTTTTCCCCGTCTTTGAGTCTCTGCCAAACAGTGGCTAACTCTCTGAATAAACAGTCTCAGCTTGTTCTCACTTGGGTGGGCTTTGCTTATTTCCACATTGTACTGTAAGCTGATAAAGCAGTTCCCCTGGATCATTATAGTCACAGAATGAAGGAAATTCCCCAAGTTTTCATTTTCAGGCCAAACACTACCTCATACTTCAGAGACAAAACCAGTTCCCAGTAATGTGTTCACCCTGACGCACATTAAAAAAACAAAACCTGCTGCTTTCAAGTTACTTTCAAATCACAACAAGCCCGTGTGTTAAGAGTAGAACTGTGTTAAAGAATAGAACTATATTCTAATGGGGTTTTCTTTATGGAAGCAGACTGCCAGGTCTTTCTTTCATGTTGCCACTGATTGGGTCTGACCTGTCACCCTTTAGGTTAGTAGCCAAAAGCAAACCATTTACACCACTCAGGGACCATGCCACTTATTTGGAGAACAAAACTCACTTTCTTTGTCCTTCAACTTGCTTCACCTTTGTCCTCTACCATAAAACCAGTCGTTTGAGCTGTAATGTGAATTCATGACTCCCTTACTCAATTTGGCATCATAAACATTGTTTTCATTCATTTATTCATCTACATGCCCCCATCACTCTTTGTCTCCTGGACCACTAGCCACAGCCTTCTCCCTGGGCTCTCTGCCATGAGAGCATACCGCACAGCATATAGCACAGCACAGCATATAGCACAGCATAGCATACAAGTTGCTGTCCAAGCGATCCAAACTCATGGAGACCCCACGTGTGTCAGAGTAGAACTGTGTTCCACAGGCTTTTGAACAGCTGTTTCAAAACTTGATCACCAGGACTTTTCTTCTGAGGTGACTGAGTGGACCTGAACTCTGATCTTTCAGTTAGCAGTTAGTACGTTAATCACTGGAACCACTTAGGGATGCCATGAGCTTACTTCCCTTCAAATTTACTTCCCACGAGGCCAAAAGGACAGTTTTCATCAAAGAAAAAAAAGAACTAGCCACATCCTGTTTCTACTTAAAACCTCACTGCACAGGATAAAGTACATGCTTCACAGGACACTCACGGCTGCAGACCTGATGCTGCTTGCCTCCAGCCTCATGTGGCCCCATTTTGAGGAACTCCTCCCACATCAGATTAGGTAACTCTTTTCTTTGTGCTCATAATACCTTGTGTCATTACACTTAGATCCATGCATTACAAATGGCTGTTTTCATGCTCTCTTCTCTCCTAATTTTAGAGATTCTTTAGGTTAGGGACTGTGTTATTATTTCTTCAATGGTTTATTCAAGGTCTGACATGAGATCAGTTCTCAGAACATGCAGGTTAATAAATGAAAACAAAACAGAAACAGGAATACAGATAGTCTTTGGCTTCAATTTATA